TCTGTGTCAGCCTTCGAGGGCTCTCAACCTTGAGTCTGGGGACCTGAACTGTAGAGAGGGTGTATGTCTGGCTCACTTTCCTTCCTTTGGCCTAAACTTGTCCTTCTGCCATGGTCCCCACAAGCAGTTGGGGAACGAGGATGTGCTTTTCTCCTATTCCAGGGGCTCTACAGCCAGGTCTGGGGTGGAGGGAGGGAAGTTAATCCTTAGATTTGTGGGGAGGGTGCTTTAATGACTCTAGGGGATGAGATCCTTCCTGGCTGCTCTGGGGCTGGCCATGAAGAATGAGAACCAGCTACCAGCTACCTTTAGCGAAATTATTCTGGCCCCAGACTGCTTTCCTGCTGGCAGACAGGCAGAGGGCATGAAGTTCTGGGCGGGACATTCTGGGAACGGGTGATACAGATTCTCCATCTGCTGCACCCTTCTCCTGACCCTGCCTTCCTCCTCACAGCTAAGCAGGCTCGTCTCTGCATTCGGGACCTCCATTCAGGTCTGTATTTAATCCCAGCTGAGTTCTAAGGTCTAAGTGTGGTTCTTCTGTTACTTGATGGGCACGTATCCTGACTCAGTTTCCATGTCAGCAGAGCAGGAAGGACAAGCCCTGCCTCTCTTATTCTTGAACTTGTTCATATACTTGGGCTTCTGGAACACTTGGAGCTTTCTGGAGAAGGGTGCTGGGAGCAGCCTGGTGCTGAGCTCTTTTGAGGAGCAGCCGGTAGCCCAGGCAGGGAAAGGGACCAGACAGGGTCGCAGATGCCTTGGGAAAGTCACAGCTTCTTTTTGGGCCTTGGTTTCCACGTCTGAAAAGGAGAGGATGGGACTAGATGACTTCTCAGCTGTTCCTGGATTTAAAGCTCTAGGATTCTGTGATTGTTGAGGGCCAAATTCCCAGGCCAGCTCACTAGCTCCCGGTGACCTCCGCTGTGTGTGGCCCGGTTCATGCCATGCCTGCCCAGGTCAATTCACCTTGTTTTATGACTATTCTCTCTGGGAATGGCACCGCATCAGAATTCAGCTGAACATAGCACAGCCCAGGCCCCTGGAAGGCTGGCTCTGTCCCTTATGGTCATTTGCCATCTTTTTCTGGTGAATCTGTCAGTTCCCTGGAGGTGGTCCCATCCTCCCCATCTCTCCCATCGCAGATATCCCGGGTGGCAGCAGGGTGCACCGGGAAGCACAGGAGCTTTGGCACTGAATGGGCCCAGGGTTCCATCCTGAACATGGCCACTTAATAATAATTATATCTCTAATTTGTTGGGGGATTTCTATGTGCCAGGCACCATGTCAAATCTAATATAATAACTTTATGAGGTATTATCCCCATCTTGCAGATGGGAAAACTGAGGTTCAATGACACTTTACCTACTTTAAGTCTTTGCTCAATGCCTCTTTCTCAGGGAGCGCCGCCCTCACCCTGCTATTAAAAATGGCATTCCGCCTCCATCCTGGCCCTCCCAGATGGCCTTGATGTTACTCTTCTCCAGCCTTCCATAGCACGTATCATGCTCCAACACGCTACAGACTTTCCTTATTCTGGGTATTGTTTAGTGCCTGCCACGTCTTGCTAGGGTAGAGAGCTTTGTCAGTGTTGTTCACAGATACATATCCCAGGCCACTAGAACAACCCCCAGCACACAGTAAGTGTTCAGTCGCTGTACATCACATGAACAACTGGTTAAATAACTTCCTCAGAGTCAGTTACCTAGAGATTGCACAGCATAAGGCTTAAGAATCCAGGCTTTGGAGCTAGTCATGAGTTTGAATTACAGCTCTTGCCACTTTAGCTAGCTATATGACTTTGCATAATTGACTGTTTCTGAGCCTCAGTTTCTTGGGTAATAAAATAGACTAATAACATTTATATTCTGGGGTGGGTGTGAGGATTCATGGAGACACGGATGTAAAGTTCTTGGCATATGGCAGGCATTGCATAAATGTTAGCTGCTTTCCTGGAGGATGTTTTTCTTCTCTCTTGCGTCTCATTTTCCCTCTGGTGGCCTATTTTTTGACCACTTCACTGTCAACAGTAGTTCCTTAGAGGACAAGTCACCGTGGGAGGGGTTGGCATCATCTGTGGTGTTAACCAGCCCATGTTCTTTTCCTTCCTTCCAGGATGCGCCTGTTACTACGGAGACACAACAGCAACCCCTGGCAGGTTCCTGGCCCCTGCGGCTGGGATTCTGGCCTCAGAGAAGGCTGGCCCTGGGGACAGGGAGGCAGGGAGGGGCTCGGTTTGCCTTCTGGGCTGGAAGTCTGGGTGGAGGTATCAGCCTGGAATCTGTTGGAAGAACTTTGCTGGCTCCCTGCAAAAATGAAGCGCTCATCTTCCTGTCTCCATGGGGCTCTTGCAGTCTGGAGCGGAGTTCCTGCTTGGGCTGAGGTCCAGTGGCACTGGTCTGGGTGTGATGCCCAGACCCTGGGAGGGGGCCATAGCAGCCAGAGTGACACATAATCAAACTCCTGGCCCTCAGAATGGCACCTTCCCAGAGTAGGGTTGGCAACCACGTAGATGCTTGAAGAGGCCTGGTGGATGGTTTACCATTCTGCCTCAGCAAAGGCTGGCCGAGCCCGTCTGGCGAGGGTACTCTCGACATGAGTGAGCACTGCCACCTCTTCTTGTAGACTTGAACGTGACCGTGGGGAGGACTGTTTCAGATCACTGGGCCTCCAGGGGCTCCATTTCCCCCTTCCCAATCCTGCTCTTGATCCTGGGCAGCATGAGTGACTGTGGCTTTTGCTTAAACCAATCACCATCCCAAATGAAGACGGGAGTGGTAGTTGAGAGAGCCAGCAGACAGCCAGACTCCTGGGATCCAATCCTGCCTTCGTCTGTCCGGGCTGTGTGACTCTGCACAAACCATTTAGCTTATCTGTAAACCTGGGATAATTACAGCACCTTCCTCTTGAGATTATTGTGAGGGTTAGACGAGTTGATTATTGTAAAGACTTTAGATTCAACCCAGACACATCGAGCCCACTAAATGTAAGCTATTATTGCCATTTTAAGGCGTACGTGCCTGTGAAGAGGGAGTTCTTGAGCAGAATAAAAATGGTATTATTCTTATTATTTGGTTTCTCTTGAAAAATGGGGAGTTGTGGCAGCACTGGCCCACCTTCCTGCTGGAGTGAATTGCGGCTGCCTGGTGCAGGCAGGTGGGGCACCAGCTCCTCCATTTGCATAATCCCTTCCAGGTCCATTTCATTACTTGACTGCCCCTAAAGGCATTTGCTATTTTTGTTACAAATTAAAGTGTAGCATAAGCCAACAAAGATGTCAGGAGCCCAGGTGGGGCTAAGGGACAAGGAAAAGACAGACTTATCTGCACAGGAGGGGACGGAACGGTTTGGGGTCCCACGGGTCTCAGAGAAAGGGATTAGAAGAAAGAGGGGAATGGGAATGCTGAGCCTGGGTAGCTTGGGGGTGGCTTTGCACCCACAAATCTGTGCCTGGTATAGTACAGACCAGTAGATGCATTGAATTTGAGGCACCTGCTCAAAAAGCCTGTACTGCTAGCTCAATGAGGAGGCTCTGTTTTTTCTTTTTTTTTTGGCGGTGGGGAGTAGGTAACGTTGAGTGGGTTCACTATCCACCTGTCCTCTGTATCTTTCAGCCTTGTATCTCTTGCAACACAAGCATCTTGGGGGCAGGGGATTTGTCCACCTCATTAGAGGGTCCCTGTCACATTCCTCATGGGAGGAACCTAGTGCTTGTCATACAGGATATTCTCAATAAATGCTTGCTGAATGAATATGTAAAGGAATGAATGCAGAGAGCTTGCTTTCTGGTATAGCAACTTGAGAATTCAGTTCGACTTTTTAGAAAGCCCTTTGGTGTCCCACTTCTATCCCATGCCCTTGGCTCCTCTATATGGCTGGAGGGAAGGCAGTGTAGGGGTGGCAACCACGTTACCTTCACTTACCATTACATACCTAGAGCCTAGCTCAGTACCTGGCACATAATAGGTGCTCAACGAATATTACTTTCACTTACATAATAGGTGCTCAACGAATATTACTTTCACTTGCGCCTAGAGCCTAGCTCAGTACTGGGCACATAGTAGGGGCTCAACAAATATTACTTTCACTTACCATTGTGTGCCTAGAGCCTAGCTCAGTACCTGCACATAGTAGGGGATCAACAAATGTTACTTTCATTTACCACTGTTGCCTTCACTTACCATTGTATGGCTAGAGCCTAGCCAAATATTTGGCACATTGTAGGTGCTCAATCCGTATTTGTTGAACTCATGAATGAATCAAATGGAAGCCTTATCCTGGAGTCTGAGTGCTGTAGTGGTGCTCTTATGAGCTGTGGGAATTTAGAACTCCTCTTTGCAACTCACTGGACCCCACTCACCCAACACGGTCACATGACACAGACATACCCTGTTATATAAAACTCAATGTAAAGGCATTCATGGTTATCACTTATAAGGCATCATCTGAAGTCTGCTGTCACCCTGAACCCCCAATGTCCTTGGCAGGCTGTCTCTGTAGTTGTCTTGTCCCTTATTTCTTGTGCTGTTGTGTACGGACAGTCAATGGGCACTGTTATCTTGTCATTTACCACTGCATTTGGAACCATTCCTCTGTGGGTTTTGGGTTTTACTTATCTCGCTATCTTAGATACACTTTGTTCATTTTTTAAAAGGCAGCAGCTTCCAGAAGGACTAGGGAATAGTCCGAACAGCGACAGAGCTGCCTGTTACCCCTCTGACAAGATGGTGTGGTGGGAAAGGGCTCCAGCCCTGGCCTGGGGAGCAGTGGGCTCCATGACCTTGGGCACAGTGACCTTGAATACTTCAGCTCTCTGAGCCTCATCTCTGGAGCCCTTTCAGATCTTTAATTCTATGTCAATACACAGGAATGGGCTTTCTAGAAGTGGAATGATTTTTAAGTTGGTGTCTGCTTTTCAGGGAAATTGTAGCTGTTTTCATTTAAAAACTTTTCATTTACGCTCCTGTTCTGAGTATAAAAACAGCACTAGCTACAAGGAATTCATATTTTGTGATTTATTAGGAGTATTACTATGATATCAGAAAATGGCAGGGTTTTTTTTTTTTGTTTGTTTGTTAAATATGTTTTTTAAAGGGTTCCTGCATTCTTAAGTGTAATTTTATTATATCCTGGGATGACTTTTTTTCCCCATGAAGAATAGATCTATGTTTTATAACAAGCCTTCACTACCGAGGCTGGTCGTGAGCACATTCTATGGTGTTACATCATTCCCAAAGGGTGTTCTGGCTACAGGAGTGTTCTATTTTCCAAGCAGAATACAGAGACCAAGCAGCAAGGTTCTTTCTAGAAATCAGAGTAAACTGAGATGAGCCATGCCTATGTCCAGCCAGACATTAAGGAGTCTTAGAAAGGAAAGGCCCTTAGGGATATACCAGCCCAACTCTTTTGTCATCTACATTAGGGAAACTGAGGCCCAGCATGGAGAAGTGACTTCCTGCAGGTAAAAGGCCTAGAGTACATACTCCATTTCTGCCCCTTACTCATCACACATCCTTCACTTGGCCCAAACCCTGGTCCCCCAAATGTGAACAGTGTTGTACACAACCAGCCACTGCTGGTGCCTGAGGGTGATACCTGCTTTGTGTTATGATCTGCTTTCAAAGCATCCCATGGTGGAAGGGCTGCTCCTAATTCAGCATTCCAATCAGTTCTACTTGCCCCAGACCTTTTTTATCACCAGCTTGGCACTAATATCTAGTGGAGAGTTTATTGGCATAATATCTTCATAAAAGAGGCTGGAAGGCTTAGCAAGTTCAAATGATAGCATTTTTATCAAGAGTCCCAAAGGACCACCCTTTTCCTTCCCATCACCACCACCAACACCAATAAGGCTTTCTCTAGCACAGGAAGTCAGGGGCAAAAAGCAGAAACAGCACAGGCCAAATCAGCAGGCACATGGTACATTATCAGATCAACCAGCAAGCAACCACCTGGGAGCCATCTTTGTTAAGGGCAAAATAAGGAGCTCACACCACACTGGAGGATACAAGACTATCTTGATTCTTCTGAAGGAGTGAGGGAGGCTGGATGGGGTAATGGGGAGACTTTCCTTTCTGTTTTCTCAGAAAACATGCAAAGAAAGTCTTCACAAACAACTAAGGTTGCGTCAGTATCCCAACCTTCCCTTTTCAAAGATGGCCACCCCTGTTGTCCATTCAGAGGGAGCACGCAGCAGAATCTACTGGGTGTGGAGAGAGAGAGACAGGCAGCAGGAGAGAGATTTAGTTTTCCACAAAGGCTGTTAGTTTTGTTTTGTTTTTTCCTTTATTGATGGGATTTAAAGTGCATATAACTGAAGGCAAAGTCCAAGGCCTAGAGAAAGATATGAGGCCCGAGAGAGAGGCTCAGAGATTCTAAAGGCGGCGGAAGAATACCCACCTAAAAAGGCCACTTGAGCTGCAAAAAGGATGGGACAGGGAGATAGAAAATGGGAAAAAGAGAAAGGGGGTGGGGACGGGGTGGGGGTGGAGGAAGGAGTTTGGGAAGAAGAAATTACCAGTTTAGAAATTCAGCCAAAGATGAGTAGTAGGAGTTAGTTTATATCCCAGCTATAAAAATATAGGCTGACTTCAAGGTAGGAACAGTTGTTTTAGGAAAGGTAAGAAGAATGAGAGCCTCAGGCCAGGACACAGCATCCCCTGGCCCTTCAGGTGATGGTAGAAGTGATGGGGCTTCTCCAAGCCTCTGTCATGGTCTTCCCTGGAGACCCAGTGTGGGTCAAAGGAGACTCTATCCAGCCAGGAGAAGGAAGGGGTTGGGGACCTTGATCTGGGGCCTACCCAGAGCTCCCCAATGGAAGACAACTTCCCTTTGCTACTGGACTATGGCTGGGGCCCCACTCACCCACACAGGCTGTGCCATCCTCGTTGGGCTCATAGCCCCGACTGCACCTCTTGTTGGTCCGGCACCTGTAGCTTCCATAGGTGTTGACACATACGGGCTTGTCTCGAGGGCACACGAATGGGAACTGGATGCATTCATTGGTGTCTGCAAGGCGAGGGGAACTACTCACCATGAAGGTGTGGGGCAGCAAGTCCCAGCCCAGGCTCTGTCTGCCCATACACTGCCTGGCTTTGGGAAAGTGTCTTCCTCGCAGAGCTCCAGTTTCCCTGCTTCAATTCCCTTGCCTGGCTCCTCCTGTACTTGGTCTCTACATGCTGGGGGGCACTCAGGCTTGGTCCTGGGTCCTCTCTTCTATCTACCACAATCGTTCTAGGTGATCTCTTCATGCATGGATGATTCCAAAAGTTCTATCTCCAGTCACAGCCTCTCCCTGTAGCTCCAGACTCACGAATACAATAACCCATGACCTACTTGACAGCTCTGCTTGGATGTCTAAGATGCACCTCGTGCTTAATATGTCCAAAATAGAACTCCAGATTCTACCCTGCCCTTAAACCTCTCTTGCCCTCTGTTCTGTCTTCTCTAGCTCAATCAATGCCCCCATCATCTATCAGTTGCTCAAGGAGAAATCAGAGTGACCCCGATTCCTCCGTATTTCTTGCCCCCTGTGCGATTTCACAGCAGACCCTGTCCACTCTTCCCCACAGTCCACCAGTCCACCTCTCTCTGTCACCTCTTTCTCATTCCTCTGCCACCACCCAATTTCCTGCCATCGTGACCTCTTGCCTGGATTTCTGCCGCTGCCTCCTCACAGAATACCTGTCTTCCCCTCTTCCCTTCAATTCACTCTGCAATTCAGCAGCTGAAGTGAGCCTTTAAAAACAGGAATCACATCATATCACCCTCCAGTTTAGCTTCTAAGGCCCCTAAGAGCAAAATTCAGACTCCCTACAGGGGCCTCATGGACTCTCCATCATCTCCAGGCCATACTGGCCTCCCTCCTTCTCCTTCGACACACGAAGCCTTTGTCTTGCCTCCCGCTTTTCACTCCTGCCTTTCCCTCAGCTCTTTCTGGGCCTGGATCCTTCTCATCCTTCAGGTCTCAGTTCAGAGTCTTTCTCCTGAGGCCCTCCCTGACCACTCTGTCTGGAATAGTCTCCAGGGAGCACCTTGCTCAGAGGGTTCCGAATCATCTTGTCCAGCTGTGTGGTCTATCTCCCTCTGCTAGAACGGATGCCCCTCTTGTGGAGGCTGGGGGTGGGGGTGGCACTTGGCCTACATCCCCAGCTCCCAGCATGACACTGCTGTGTATGAGGCACATAACTGCCTGTTGGGTGATGAAAAGGAAGAGGAGGCTGATCTCAAAGGGTCCTTCCAGCAGGCAGAGAAGACCCTGGAATATCTATGCACCTGCACTGTGTGTTTGGAGTGGGGCCAGGTGGGGATGTGGAGAGCGTAGGGGAGTCATTTCCTCCTCCAGCCTCCCTTGGCACCACTGCTCCTCCGCCTCCCAATCTGTGCTCCTTTGTCCAGACAGTGCCTCCACCAGAACCCTGTCTCCCCTCTCTGTGACTGCCAAACTCCTCCTCATGCCTCAGGGCCCAGGCTTGGACCTCACTTTCTCTAGGGCACCTTCTAGGACCCTCCCTATGCTGGTTTAGGGCCCCTGCTTTGTAGTCTCCAAGCCCCTGCCCTCCCCCATCTGGGCCCTGATCACACTGTGTGGTTGTCAGCTGTTTACTTGTGTGGCTCTCCATTGGCTTTTAGCTCCTAAGAGTGGTATCTGTCTTGTTTACTCCTGTATCTCAGTAGCAAAGGGCTAATGAGCAGCTGCAGAGTAGACTTGGGAAGAATGCTGGATGAGGGTTCAAGGAAGGAGGGATCCTTGGCCTGATCCCTCATTGCTGGTTACTGGGATGGAAAGTGTTGGGGGTGAAGGTCTCCTGGACACTGAACTTCTAGGCTGCCCCTTCCCATTCCAGGCCTTTGGGGACTTTCAGAAGGTTCTTGGACCCTGAAGGAGCTGCCATCCTGGTAGTGCTGCAGCTACCTGCCTGCCCGAGTACTACACCAGGCTGCAGTCTCCCTTCCACAATGTGACCACACTCCATACGCTATTTTGCCCCAATACTTTGGCAATGCCCACCCTTGCCTGCCAGTCCCCTTGCTTGCTGCTCCACATGGACTTGCTGGCCATGGCATGTGGCTATTCCCCCTGTGCCAGGGTGGTGGTGTGTCTCCTTCCCATGTGCACTTTCTCGGTACTCATGGCAGGGAAACACTGCCAGTTCCCAGAACTGTAGTGATTCAGCCTGTGGGTCATTAATATCACTCCCACCCTGGTGAGTCATGTGGTGGTTGTCTTGGCATCTGGAGTCCCAGGACAAACAACACCCTCCCCTGTCCTCCTTTCTACCCCTTGCTTGCACCCTGGACCTTGCCATGAGTCAGGCGGGCATTCCCCAGGGAGATTCTGGCCTCCGCCCCATGCCCTGGTGACTGAAGGCAACTCACCCATGCAATGGCCATTTTCCTGCTGGGAGAATCCTTGGCCGCACTGCAAGGTGGGCAGAAGCAGAGACATGAGTGAGTTGAGAAGGTCCCATCCCAGGTTCCCTCCTAGTCACAGCCACAGAGCAGCTGTCGCCCTAACCACAGTGTGAGGCATGCTCTGGGCCTGTGGGGAGCCCCCTCCCTCGTAAGACCCTTCCTCTGCACTAAGAACAGAAGCCTGGCAGGGAGGCCATGAATGGATACAGTTCAGACTCTTGCTCATTTCCCTGCGCAGGGGATCTATGTGCCCGAGATGGGATGCCTAATAGAACCTGTCCCTCCTGTAGCATAGCCTTGAGGCTGAAGTTGGGTCTGTCAGGGCAAAGAGTAATGAGGGCTGGGAGATGCTTTTTGAAGTGTCTGATCACTGCCCACATGCACTTCTCCAAGAACCTCCCCCTCACATGGGTGGGTGCCTGCAGCCGTGCTTGTGTCCTGTCTCTCTGGCCAGGGCTGATGGGCGGACATCCTAGCAGGAGGGAAGACTCAAGGCTTTGCAGCAAGAATTTGAACAAATGGACTCAAAGACTTGAGAGTTCGGAGCTGGTCCTGCCAGGCTGTGGAGGCTCTACCATGCCCATATGGGGGTCTCAGAGATAGCAGCCTGGGGTGGGGCAGGGGACTCAAAATGTAACACACATGACACAAAATGTCAATCGACCATACTGATGAATGAGGTGGGTGGATGGGGATTGTTGGGGAAGAGGGGCCCCTCTCCTCCCAAAGCCAGTGCACTGACAAAGGTCCTTGAGCTCCTATGGCTGAGGCCATAAAGTTGCCAGTTTCCACTCATCCTGAGCTTCCCTGAGTTTTGTGAGTGATCCTCCTTATAAGTCCCCTTTATTTGTGTGAGTTTAGGTGGGTTACTGTTACTCGCCACCAAGTGAACCCCATCAGAGTTGGAATGACACTGCTGACATGGGTCCAGAGCTGCTCCTCAGAGACCCCAGAAGTCCTGCTGCAGGCTCTCAGCACCATCCTAGGGCAACAGGAGGTCTCGTCAGAGACTCGGAAAGAACCAGGAGGGCAGCAGGAGACCTGGGGTCATTTTTTAACTCTACTCACAACTGACTGTGTAGCCTAGGTGGGCCTTGGTAGGTTTCCTCTCTTAACTTCGGTTTTCTTCCTCTGTAAAACTGGTGCAAAAATGCTTGCCCTGCCAATACAGCAGGGATTCTTTGAGGAGCAGAAAAGATGTGGGTGTGATAGTGTTGTGCAAACTACAAATGGAGGGATCAGTATGAGGCCTTCGCTTTGCCAAGAAGATTTCCATCACTCTAGAGGCTGAGTTTGCAGATTCCTGGGAACCCAGCTTCAGCCCATTGGGTTGTGGGTGGTGCCCGCTTTTCTGGCTATGAGGCCCAGATGCCTTTGCCCACCTCCAGTGGGGCTGGGTTCTGAAGTGTGTCCTCATCCCGGGGGTAGGGGATCTCCAGCACCGAGTTCATCTCTCCGCTGGCCACGTTCCGGCTCACCATCTTGCCATCTGGCCACGTCACCTCCACACTGCTGGCTTCATCCTTCCCTGAGGGATGGAAGGAGAGAGCATCAGCAGCAGAGGAGAGCAGGAGGCTCTCAGAGAAAGCATCAGCATCAACCAATTCATCCATTGAATAAAAGCAGGAATTGAGCACTGTTCTAAGTGCTACGGAAATGGTGAACGAGACAGATTTGAGGTCCCTCCTCTCTGGAACAATGCTGTCCAATAGACCTGTCTGTCTGCAAGGACAGACATGTTCTGCATCTGTGCCATCCAGTACAGTAGCCACTGGTCACAGGTGGCTGTTGAGCACTTGAAGTGGGACTTGTTTGACTGAGGAGGTGAATTTTCAATTTTATTTAACTCTAATTAATTTAAATTTAATAGCCACACATGGCTGGTGGCTGTCATGTTGGATAGTGCAGCTCTCGAACTCACGTTCTAGCAGAGAGGCAAAGCATCAGGAGGCTGTACTGGAGGACACAGTAAGGCCTGTGATAAGCAGGTTGTCTTTGGAGTCTGGAGTTCAAATCTTGGCTCTACCCCTTACCTGGTATGTTGGAAAGAGCATGGCGGGAATTGGGTGGGAGACCTGAGGACAAATCCCAGCTTTGCAGCTAACTGGCTTTGTCATCCCAGGAATGCTTCTTGTATTTCTATTTATTGAGCTCTGCTAAGGGCCAGGCTCTCTCTTGTCACTGGGGATGCCCCTGTTCTCATGGAGTTCCTGCTCCAATTGGGGAGACAAGCAAACAGATGAACAAATAAATCATGTCAGATATTGACAAAAGTAGGGCAAGTAGGTAAGGAGGAGCTGGGGGCTGCCAGGGCCTTGTCTAGTCAGGCAGTCAGAGACAGCCTCTTAGGGAGGGGGCATTTGCACTGAGCTCCACATAAAAACTTGGAAAAAGAGCTGGGCATAGTGGCTCATGCCTGGAATCCCAGCTACTCAGGAGGATGAGCAGAAGGATCGCCTGAGCCCAGGACTTCAAGGCCAGCCTGGGCAACATAGTGAGACCCTGCTTCTGAAAAAAACAATAAACAACAAAAACAAAAACAAACAACAACTTAGAAAAGATGGAGTGATAAACAGCTGGCAGGTGGAGGACAGGGGAGAAAGACTGTTCTACAAATCTAAGATGCTTACAGAAGATGATGGGAAGCTCAGAGATATTCACAGTGAATCCATTTGCACACACCCCTAAAGCAACGTGCTACATCATTGGTGGAAAGCAGGCTGGAAAGATTTGTCAGATGTTTAGGCACTGTCAAAGCCAGCCCCAGCCCCCCGCATAAGGAAGCAGGCCTGCCACTGTGGCAAGGTCAGGCTAATGGTGATGGATGGGGGTGGGGAGGAGGTGGGGCTGGGCCTCACCTTCCGGGAGAGGCTGCTCTCAGGTCAGCCCCTGGGAAGAAGAGCTGTGCCCAGCACAGACAGGGGGAGTGCACAGCCCACTCTATCACCCATCAGGGCTGAGCAGATGTGGGGACACGGGGTCCTGCAGGGGGCCTCGAAATCAACACACTCCTCCAAACACCATTCCTGGGCTAAATAATATATCACCCACATATATGCACTATTATTTTTCCTAACATATGTAGATAGTGTTAGAAAACAAATTAAACTTAAAATTGCTGTTGAATGTATATTCACTTTTGGTCATTGCTATACACCAATGAATTTTACAACGATAGATACTATGGGGTGGACAGTAGTTGGCAAAATATCTTGATGTATAAAGGGGGTTCCCATATTTTAGAAAAGGGTGTTTGGAGGCCACATGCAGACTTGGAGGAGAATCTCTGCGTAGACTTCCGGTAGAGACCACTGTGGGGCATGGAGGAAGGGAGCCAGGTGCCGGGGGGAGAGCCCATGATGAGGGGGTTCCAGAGGGAGTTACGTCTTGCGAGCCACAACCCCCAGCTTCTAGATCCTTCCCATGTTTGGTCTCCTTTTGCTCTCCCACCCTGGCCTCCAGGGGAGTCTCACTGTAATGTCCCAGCCTTGCTGCTGCCGTGCTGTGAGTCTGTGAGGGCCAGGGCCAGAGCTACACTCTGAAGAGTCCACGGAGAAGCAGCCCCTGCCCTCATGGGCACGGCAGGCAGCAGCAACAGAGACGCTCGGAGACAGAGGCTCGTCCTCACACCCTGAGTTCCTCTCCCACACAGCTCAGTTTCTCTTCCCACAGGGAAATCCTCTCCTTCCGGGTCCAGCCCTACTGTTCTGGGTTTTGCTTTATCAAGCAAGAAATTATTTCTCATCAGTCCCTCAATCTATAAGAATCCCTTCTGCAGAAGAGGGGTGAAAATGGGACTGGGGGGTGCCGACTACAGATTTTCTTTTCTTTCTTTTTTTTTTTTTTTTTTTTTGAGATGGTGTCTCACTCTGTCACCCAGGCTGGAGTGCGGTGGTGGGATCTCAGCTCACTGCCACCTTCCCCTCCCAGGTTTAAGCGATTCCCCTGCCTCAGACTCCTGAGTAGCTGGGATTACAGGCATGTACCACCGCGCCCGGCTAATTTTTGTATTTTTGGTACAGACGGGGTTTCGCCATGTTGGCCAGGCTGGTCTCAAACTCCTGACCTCAAGTGATCCACCCACCTCAGCTTCTTATAGTGTTGGGATTACAGGCATGACCCATCACACCCGGCCAGATTTTTTTTGTTTTTTGTTTTCTAATTTGAAGTAGAATCTTGAGGCGCGAGAGATTTGGCATTTTCAGGGTATGCAGTGGCACATATAAAAGGTAAATATTTGCCATTAAAAGAAGGAGACAAAGAACAGCAAATGTTTCTTACCTAAGACTGCAGAACAGCTACATGAATATGTTTTCCAGCCTGACTGAAGGGCCACAAAGGACTCAAAAGAGTCGCGGAATATTCACAGACAGTCACAGATTTGCCTGTGGTACTTGCGGCACTTAGTTTTTTTTGTTTGTTTGTTTTCTGTTTTTATTTTGAGATGGAGTTTTGCTCTTGTTGCCCAGGCTGGAGTGCAGTGGCAGGATCTCAGTTCACCACAACCTCCACCTCCCAGGTTCAAGCAATTCTCCTGCCTCAGCCTTCCCAAGTAGCTGGGATTACAGGCATGCGCCACCACGCCTGGCTAATTTTGTATTTTTAATAGAGACAGGGTTTCTCCATGTTGGTCAGTCTGGTCTTGAACTCCCGACCTCAGGTGATCCACCCGCCTCGGGCTCCCAAAGTGCTGGGATTATAGGTGTGAGCCACTACGCCCAACGGGAGTTAGTTTTGAGTTCTGCTTCAGCAGCTTCCTCCAGACCTAGACGTGGTGCAGGGGGCCTGGGGCTATGAGATAAGCAGGCCTCAGAAAGCACAACCAGCAGGACTCCCTCCTCGGCCGCTGTTTTTTGTTAACTTGGGCATCCTCTCTGGGCCTCAGTTTCTTCATCTATAAGATGGGGGTGCTGGCCGACAGCCTTACCACTCCTGGGAAGCAGAGCCTTTCTACCCTTGGAGCAGGAGTCCTGCCCCGCCGTTAATCATTCACCTCAGCGTCCCTGGCACCATCAGCTCTTGGACATGGGGTCTCCCTACAGTTTCCAAAGGGCTTTCCGGTGTTGGTAACAACAGTGAACGCTGACAACATGCCCCAAGCTGTACCAACTGCTTTATGATGCTAACGCATTAAAACTTCACATCTCCACGAGGAAGGTGCCGGTGTTATCATTTCTGTCTCAGAGACGAGAAGGCGGAGCCATGCAGAGGTGCAGTGAATCGCCCAGTTGCCCAGCAGAGGTCCGACAGATCCCAGAGCCGGCATCTACTGTGCCCCTGTTACACCGCCCACCCTATCCCACGCCCAGCAGCCACCATATACCAAGTTTTGTGCAGGGATTTGGGATTCAACAGAGAATGAGACAGACCCAGGCCCCGTTCTCATGATTCCCATGGGAGCAACGAATACAAGTGATTATATTATAAGCTGGGAAAGTGCCACAACAGCACTGCTACCATGCGGTGAGAGAGGTGGGTCATTTCATTTGGGCATTGCAGGAGGAGTAAGAGTTTGTGAGGTGGAGAAGGCAAGGAAGGAGCATTCCAGGGAAAGGATACAGTGTGGGCAAAGGTACAGCGGCATGAAACAGTAAGTTGTAGCTGAAGATCAGGAAGAAGTTCAGAGCGGGAAAGAGTGTCAGAATGTGCATCAGGTGGGAATGTGTATCAGAGGAGGCCGGGGAGGGGCTTCAGAGCCTTCACACTTACGAGGTGGTTATTTTATCCCCATTCTCCAGATGTCGACATTGAGGCTTGACAAGGTGAAGTGACTTGCAGGTGTCTGAGCTAGGACTGGAAGCCAGTCTCCTGTCCTTAGGTGCAACTCATCCCTCTGCCCAGGCAATCTGCATAACATCTTAAGTCTTCCCGGGGCTGCATGGCCAAGGGGGACTGGCTCTCAGACACCGCACACCAGCAGCCTCGAAGCCGGCCAGTCCTGCCGGGCCTGTGTGTAGGGGAGGGCTGGGCAGAGGAGCGCCCCCCATTAACCAGCAGAGACAAGAGGTCAGGAGCAGCAGTGAGTCACCTCTGGCAGCTTTTAAAGGACAGAGGCCAAGGAGGCAGAGAGAATTGCACTTTTCAGAAGAATTACAAACAAAACAGATGGTGGGAATACAGTTGGTAGAATATTTTTGCACTTTAATAAAGCAATTTTTATGAGGGCCACTGAATTTCCCTTCCCTAAATGAGCATCAGCCGGCGAGGAGAGGCAGCTCTGAGTCACCTGCAAGCAATTAGCTGAAAGGACGGTGGCATGTGTGGGTGGGGCTGGGGCATCGGCAATGCCGGTTGTGGGGGAGGGGGAAGAAGGGAGGGAGAATGGTGGGGGTGGCTGCCTGAGCCGGTGACTCCCAGTGGAGCTGGCGGAGGCAAATAGATGATTGGTGTTGTTTTTATTTTCTGGGTTTGGGAGTGAGCTGCCTCGGCCCGCTACCAGTTGGGAAGTGGAGGGTGGGCATGTGGGGCTCAGGGGTGGGTTCCGAGCAACCAGGTTGGTGGTGGGGGAGCCCTCGACAAGGGCTATAA